ACATGGAAGCTGGGTAGGCCACTTCCAAGGCAAGTGCCCTTCCCACTGTACTATCTCTCCAGCCCCTTTCATTTTTCTTTTACTATATTTTATTTTGGGAGGTCACACTTAGGGCTTAGACCTGATTCTGTACCCAGCGATCACTCCTGGTAGGCTTGGGCAACCAACTAGAGTACTGGGTACTGAAAGCAGGTCAGTTGCATACCAGGCAAGTACTATCACTACAGCCGCTGAATTTATAAAAACTGGAATAAGAATTCTTATAGTCCAACAAACTCTAGATTTCCAATTTAGAGACCTCCAAATTGCTTACTTTGTACAATTTGACTAAGTTCATTACTTCTGTTTTTGATGCCTATGATTTAACTGAAATTCTGGTCGACAGAATATTCATTGAGAAACCTCTTGCTTTCTTTCTTTTCTAAACTTAAAGTTAACCCATGTGTCCACTCTTGTGAAATTATTGAAGGAAGCAAGCGTGAGTCACACTCAATAAAATACAAGGTCCAGGTACTTCTGCTGAGCACATGTTTGCTCCCACCCTGTTGGCACAGGTAGTAGAGCCATAAGGAATGAGTGTGATATGCTGCCTCATATCATTTTTTATAGATCACTATAGAGATTATATTGTTTAGAGAACCTATTACTGACTTTCATAAATATGACAGACCTAATCTGCTTTACTCCTTGGCTACAGCAGTTGAATGTGTTCACAGTCAGTTGGCTCTTCCTGCATGGGGTCTTAATAGAACTTACATAACATCATAGTAGCAAAGTTTTCATTGCCATGGAAAACCAACCATTTCCTTCTTCAAATAAACCTTACCTGGCATTCCTACATATAAAACAGATGAGAGGGACAGAGAAGTGGGCATTTGCCTTGCATGCAATCAAACCCGGGTTTGACCCTAGTTATATATATATATATATATATATATATATATATATATATATATATATATGTCCCCCAAGCCCATGAGAAGTGATCCCTGAATGCAGAATCAGGAGTGATCCCTCAGACATAGCTGGGTGTGACTCAAAAACAACACAACCCTCCTCCCAAAATAAAGATGAGGGAGGAATATTTCAGATGAAATTAAAGTAAAATTCCACCAAGAAGCTCCCAAAAAAGGCCCATCCAACTAGAACCCATCAAGAGCCTAGGGTGTGAGTTTGGAATACAAAGGTGTCAAGCCAGCATTGAATCATCTCATTCAATGGTCAGCATTTTGGTACCCAAACTCTTACTATATGCCTAAATACTTTAAATCAACAGAACAGGGCCAGGAAGATGGGTTGAAGGGTTGAGCACATCCTTTGCGTGCAGGACCCCCATGTTCAATCCCCAGTACTAAATGGTCCCCCAAGCACTAAGCCAGGAGTAGTTCCTGAGCACTACCTGGCATGGCCAAAGAACTAAAAATGAAAAGAAGTGACAACTCATTTTTTAAAGTATGTTAAGTGTTTTTATTGGGCATCTCCTAAAGTTGCCACATCTCTGATGTCTCCCACATGACTACAAACTTATAAAATTACCTGGGAAGCACAGATCATCATAAACAAAGTTAACCAGTGTTGGCATGGATGTAGGAGAAAGGAACCCTTACCACTGGTGGGAATGCCAACTAGTTTAATGTTCTTTTGGAAACAATATGGACGGATACTTCTTAAAAAGCTAGGAACTGATCTGCCATATAACCTAGCAATTCGACTTCTTGGCATTTACCCCAAGGATCCAAAAACTATATTCAGAAAAGACGTTTATAGGCCAAGTTCCTGCCCCAAAAGCAGCCACACTTCACCCCAACAGCTGCCACATGCCTCCTGCCAGACTCCACTGCCTGAGCTTCACAGAAGATGAACCTACCAAAAATTTCCAGTACACTGGGAGGTTTTGGCTGAGAACTCCAACCTTCTTGGAGATGGGATGGACAACCTCTGCCCACCTCCCAGTACTTCTGGAAGTCCTGGCAGCCACACCCACGTCCCACTGCCATCACCATGGAAGCTCATCTACCAGCTCTGGTCCAGAGACTCATAAATAAATCTCAAAAGAGATCAACTAGCTGAAAAATTTCTTGGATACCCAGTCCTGGCTGAGACCTTGGAGCAATCTCAGGTGGGGGGTAGGAGGGAAGGGGCAGCTCCTGCTCTACCAAAGCCACTGCAGCTGCGCTCACACCCCCCTCCCACCCCTCGAGCTGCTGCCATACTGCCAGGCACGCCAGATTGGATGGGAACGTAACATAGAAGCCAACTAACCTTGACTAACAAAAACCTTAATTACTAACAAAAACATTAATTACAGAAGGTTTAACTAGCAACAACAGCTTAGTAAACCCTCCAACAAGAACATAATGTCCCCACAGTGAGATAAAACAATTTTCACCAACTTTCTTATACCGAAGTATTTCTTTTATCATTCCATTAGTCATTTAGTGATAACAAGCTATATAAAATAAATTATTGTGAGCCTAAGAGGGCAGGTTTGGGGGGTAGTTTGGAAATTGGAGACCATGATGGTGGGAAGGAGACAGTGGTGGTAGAAGTGGTATTGGAAACCTGAATGCCTATAACAAACCATCCTGAAAAATTTTGTAAACCATGGTGTGTAAATAAAGTGGGGTAAAAACATTTATACTCCAAGGCTCATAATATAGCCAAAATCCAGAAATAACCCAAGTGCTGGAGAACAGATGAGTTGATAAAAAATTGTGCTATATATACACAATGGAATTCTTCTTGGCTATAAGTTTATTACTATACTATTTGTCTAAAAGATGAAATCATGCAATATACTTCTACACTAATGGATTTGAAAGGTGTCATACTGAGTGAAGTTAGTCAGAAGGAGAGGCACGGGGACCTAAGGGGTAGTACAGCGGGTAGGGCATTTGCTTTGCATGCAAATGACAAAGGTTCGATCCCCAGCATTCCATACGGTCCCCCAAACACCACCACGAGTAATTCGTGAGTGCAGAGGCAGGAGTAACTCCTGAGCATCACTGGTAGTGACCCAAAAAGCCCAAAAGGAAAAAAAAAGAATGAAGAAGGAGAGAGACAAACACAGAATAATCTCCCTCATATGTGGGATATAAATAAACATAGTAGTAAAGCAACAAATGCCCAAATGCAACAAAAACTGAGAAATGGTCTTTAGTGGGAAGCAGATCACTGCAAGGGAGATGTGAGGAGGGCTTATATAGGTGGGGGCGCTAAGACAATGGTGAAGGAAAGTGGACACACAGGTAGAGAGTATGGTATTAGAATATTTTATACATGAAAACATACCATTATCAATATGTAAATCATGGTGCCTACATTTTTTAAATGTTGTTTAAAGAAAAGAATAATTACCTGGGAAGAAAAAAATCTGAACCATATTGGGTATCCCTGGCGAGAATTACAAGGGTGACCTAAACTTTAGAAGATCAATAAAGCTGTAGAATCTAGGGGACCAGAATCATTGCCTCACTCATGGGGGGAAAACCAGCTGTGGGTCTGAAGAGTCCCAGGAAAATTTCTACTAAAGTTACAGGAAGTGAACCTGTCCTCAGGGCAGGAAACCAATTTCCTTAAAAAAGGAAACTGTGGGAAGATGTTGATAACTAACTACACTGGTGTTCCTTTTCTGCATCGAAATAGACCTACTGAAGCCATAAGAAAATATACACAGATGAATCTTGATAAATCGAAGGTATGAAGCCCAAGATGTGCCTTGAGAAACCAGTAAGCTAGTCCCAAGGGCTATGAGCACACTGCACACTGGAGGCCAAGGTTCAACCTCCAGCACCTTTCGGACAGTCTTCTGTGCATATCCCTGGGAGAGAATTTTGAGGACCAGGCTAGGAGACACCCCCAAGCACCACTCACTGGGGCCCAACTCCCCCACCTCCAAAAATATATGCTTTGGAAAACCGCATGAAATACTGATAGAAAAAACTTAAAATAACTGAGAATATATTACTATACTATGTAATATATACTTTATATATACTACTATATACTTTATATACTACTATTATGGGGCTGAAGCGATAGCACAGCGGGTAAGGGATTTGCCTTGTGTGCGGCTTACCCGAGTTCTATTCCTCCGACCCTCTCAGAGAGCCCGGCAAGCTACCAAGAGTATTTCACCCGCACAGCAAAGCCTGGCAAGCTACTCATGACGTATTTGATATGCCAAAAACAGTAACAACAAGTCTCACAATATGTTGTGAGACATTACTGGTGCCTGCTCGAGAAAATCAATGAACAACGGGAGGACAGTGCTACAGTGCTACTACTATTATATTTTATAATTCATACTAAATCATCACTACTTTATACTAAATTATAACATAGAACACACAGTTTAGTACTTTATACTAAAGTACTTTAATACTTTATACTAACAAATACTTTATACTAATACTTTATACAGTTTAGTACTTTATACTAAATTATCACACAGAACTAAAGTATCACTACTTTATACTAAATTATCGCACAGAACAGTATAAAGAGGGGAAAAGAACAATCCTTACGCCCATAGAGAAACATTAAAAATACTCTCTGCTAGTTTGATGTATTCCAATAAATTCAGAAGAAATTGATAATATTGTCTTTTACTCTATCATCTCTACTAATGAAGTTACAACAGATGTTCTAAATTAAAGCTCTTATTTGTAAAGCTATCTGAAAAGATGGAGAAAAGGCTCGGGATGAGATAGGAATGAGAAACCCTTAGCATGCCCTAGAGTGCATGGAGCCTTGTGCAGATGCCCACATGCCACACCAGGCCACGGGGCTCAACATCAAGGTTTCAGACACAGCCTAGCACAAACAAATGAAAGAGATGAAGAAGTAAGAGACAGGGTTCATGGATCTGGGGGAGAGTGTCCAGGAATTCAGGGCACCCCGCCACATGGACTGGGAAAAGCCTGGTCACAGCCAGAAGGAACAATCCCCATAAAAGACAAGTGGCAGTTGCCACTCCCAAAAGTCAGAGAGACTCTTACCTTCTCAATCAGAGGAAATGATCAGATGTACTTGCTCCCTCCACCCACACTGCTCCGGCCACGTGCCTCCACTAGGTTTCCTCTTCCTTCCTGGACAGATGACAAGTCCACATCAGGTCAGAAGCTATTCCCTCATAAAGCCCTGTCCTTAGTCACACCTGAAATAAAGTTGAATACATGAACCAACCCCCTATTTTCTACGTCCCCTCTGAGATAGAAGTTTTAAGGCAGAAGGTCAAAAATAGAGGGGTTACAAAATAGCATGCAATTTCTATATAATATAGAAGTATATTATTATATGACTATGATATTAGCATGGTATCATATATTCATAATATATTATATTTAATGATATAATAATATATTATTATAGCTATGGCAATATAGCTGCACTGCACTGCACTGTCCTCCCATTGTTCATTCATTTGCTCAAGCGGGCCCAGTAACATCTCCATTGTGAGATTTGTTGTTACTGTGTTTGGCATATCGAATACGTCACAGGTAGCTTGCCAGGATCTGCCGTGTGGGGCGTGATACTCTCAGTAGCTTGCCGGGCTCTCCGAGAGGGGCAGAGGAATCAAACCCAGGTTGGCAGGGTCGGCCGCGTGCAAGGCAAACATCCTACCCACTGTGCTATTGCTCCAGCCCAGCAATATAGCTATAATAATAATAATAATATAGCTAAGGGGCTGAAGTGATAGTACAGCAGTAGGGTGTTTGCCTTGCATACAGCCAACCTGGGTTCGATTCCCAGCATTCCATATGGTCCCCCGAGCACCGCCAGGAGTAATTCCTGAGTGCAGAACCAGGAGTAACACCTGAGCATCGCCAAGTATGACCCAAAAAAAAAAACCATATATATATAGCTAAGATGGTCATTCAGAAAGAATCTAGAGGACTTGTTTAAAAAGGAGTGGGTGGGGCTGGCAAGATAGTACAGTGGCCCTTGCATGTGGCCTACTCTGGTTTGATCTCAGGCGCTCCATATGTTTCCTTATGCCCTTCCAGGATTCTTCTCTGACCACAGACCCAGAGGTAAGACCTGAATACAGCCAGGTGTACCCCCAAAATGAAAAGCAACAACAACAACAAAATTTAAAAAAGTGAATAAAGAAACTTCCATATGGGGCCAGAAAGATAGCTCAATGGGCTTCTACATACTTACATTTTAGACTCTGCTATGCAAAGTGTGAGAGAGAAAATTATTCTGCACAGAAATTATAATAGTTTCATTTATTTTGGGGTGGGGTTTGCTGAGGACAGAACAAAGGACCTATGTGAAATATGGGCTATACCACTGAGCTATAGCCCTAACCCTCACAATTCCTAATTCAAAAGAATTTCCTTAAATTCCTAAACAGTTGAGATACACATGCCTTTCACTCCTCTAAAACAGTTCTTAAACAACCAACACTGCTGACACCAGAAGTAACAGGCATTAATGATCTATTCTGTCACTGTCACTGTCCTCCCGTTGTTCACTGATTTGCTCGAGCGGGCCCAGTAACGTCTCCATTGTGACACTTGTTACTGTGTTTGGCATATCGAATACATCACGGGTAGTTTGCCAGGCTTTGCCATGCCGGGGAGATGCTCTCGGTAGCTTGCCGGGCTCTCCGAGAGGGGCAGAGGAATCAAACTCGGGTCGACTGGGTCAGCCGCGTGCAAGGCAAACACCCTACCCGCCGTGCTATTGCTCCAACTCAAAGATCTATTCCAATCTAAACAAAACAAACAAATAAAACCCTTAATCTTATGTTCCCTGTAAGAGACCAAAGCTCATAAATAAAGATATGTACACTTCTACCATTGGGAAATTTTTTTTCAAAAATGTTTTAATATGCAAAGTATTTATGAGTCCAGGAGATGCAGAATTATTTTCTGAAACAAAACCCAGACCAGTCTGTGGATTCCCATGATCCTTTCAGGAAAAAGGCTGAGGTAGGTATGCAACTTGTCAAAAAAAAAAAAAACCCTGAAATTTTACACCACCTCACTGTGTGGAGCAAAGAATCCATGGAACGAATTCATCTTCACAACACACCTCCATGCACCGGTGACAATGCAATCATTTTCGTTCCCTGGGACAGGGAAGAAACCCAAAGGACTAGCATACAGGACAGGTTTGAGACCCTGAGTTCAAGCCCCAGCAACCGATGACCTCCTGAGCTCAGAACTGTCAGGCTAGCACAACTGAACCAGATGTGTAGGAAGGGACTCACACAGAAACTACAATATGTCTTGAGTTCTTTTCACTCTAATCACAAGCGCTCAAGGCCACTGTGGCCGTAGGAAAAGGGAAAGGCTGGTTGTTTCACAGAACACTCTCAAGGGTCCTTTCTCACCACTTAAGTGATGAATAGGATGGTGGTGAGCAAAACCAAATGCTGCCCCCTCCACTCCTTCTCATGTGGGGGCTATTCCTGAAAAAGACACATTCTATTTGGGTTTTTCCTTTGTCGGCCTATACTCAGTAGGAATGAGTGCCTTCCTCTCCATGACCTTACATGGGTACTGACCAGGAACGTCTAGGCATTATCTCCCATGTCACACATGTGTCTCCACTCTCCAGGACTTTGGCACATTTTCTAGACCATCCTTCTCCACCACCCTTCCTCACAGGGCTGACAATGGACCAGCTGGCACTCAAATGCTAATCGCATCTGCCCTGTGGTGTGCTCTCGAAGTCTCATCCTTCCTCTGCTTCCCTCTGTGTCCTGCTGACTTATCTCAAGAGTGACTCAAATGGTGTCTGAGTACAACCAAGAGCTGCTTGGGTTTGTTGGTTTGGTTTGTTTTTATCCTTTCAACAAACTAAATTGTATGTGCGTTCAACTCAATAATATTTCAGAAGCAACTTCTACTCAGCTAACAGCAAGGAAAGACATGAAAGAAATTGGTGATCCAGAATCCATCCAGTGGTTGGTAAGCAGGAGAGGGAAGCAAATGAACTCATTTTCTTTCTTTTTTTTTTTCTCTTTTGGGGCCACACCCAACTATGCTCAGGGATTACTCCTGACTGTGCACTCAGGAATTATACCTGGTAGTGCTTGGGGGACCACATGGGATGCCGGGGATTGAATCCAGGTTGGCTGCCTGCAAGGCAAATGCCCTCCCCACTGTACTATCACTCCAGCCCCATGAACTCATTTTCAACCAAGGGCAAATAAGTTAATTAGAAGTATACTGTCAGGTATACCACAGAGAACATCTGACAGCAGGTTATCAAAAGGGAAATGGGTTTCAAATGACAAGAACTGAACTTCTCTACTTGTTCCCTCACTGCGTGACCTATGAGAAGCTGTCGCCTCTCCCAACCAAGCACCTGAGTATGGGAATCTAACCACCGGGACTCTTGGACAGGTGGAAGTATCTCTTGTGTGAACACATTTTATAAAGCATGAATTTCTGTGTGAAAACAAGATGATAGTTTTACAGGACAGGCAGACCCCAGAAGGTCAAAGATGAGAACCATCTGAGCAAAGGCTCAGACAGCAACCTGGATCTTTTCTGAGTACCTTCTAAGTCAGTAAGGATCTAGCAAGATGAAGAGGAGTAAGGAAAAGAGCTGTAGTACAAAAGGATTCTTCAGTTTAACAGGTATTAGGAAGACCTGTAAACCTTATGAGGGGTGGGCGGGTTAGGGGTTGTGCAATATCTGAAGGGACTTGGATTTACTACTGCACTGAGCTCAGGGATCATTCCTTGAAGAAATTGGGGACCATATGCAATACCAGGGATCAAACCATCATTGCCCACTTGCAAGGCAAGTGCTTTCACCCCTGGTCTATCTCTTCAGCCAGCTTTACTTTTCCTGTGTTTTATCTACTCACCATCCTATTAACCATTTTTAAAGACTACAAATGTGAAGAAGATATAACTCTTCCCCTCGAAATTCAGTCAAGGAGACATAAGACATAGAACTGAACAACTATGAAACCATCTGTAATTCAAAGGCAAGCACAGAGGTCACAGGACAAGTAGGAGCCGTCGGGTGTGTTTATGCATCAGGATGCCTATGTATGTTGGGGTGGGGGGGTCTTTATAGCTGGTTCTGCTAACATCTGTGGGTGACACCAAGGGCTAAAGTTCTGGACAGGACAAAGGCTGCCCCAGGCTTGCTCAGGACACACACAGGTCTGGCTGATGTGGGGTCATCCCTTGGGCCCAGGTTTCTGCTGAATTCGTGAGAAAGGCAAAAGCTTCTTGCATTTTAATGCTGGTGAACTCCCAAAGAAAAGATGAAATGCAACCTGGTGCTTCAATGAATGAGATGTGCTCACGAATAAACACTTCTCCCACAAAACGTTTTCCAATACTCCTACTGCAAAATTCTTGGCGGAGAATGGCACTTTGGCTCAAGATGTTTTCCTGCTGTGATTTCTGATAGCAGTATTCCAAAGTCCCTCTGAGGTGAAAAGCAAGAACTCATAGCCAAGCTCACCAAGCCCGGCTCTGTGGTTCAGACACACACCTAAGAACTAGCAAGCCTGTAAGCAGGGAAGCCAGAGGTAGGTGCGTGAAGACCCTTCCATTTCTAGGCTGTGCTGGGGCAAGGGACTCCGTACATGTGCCCCTCAGGGCTATTAGGTGGCCCATATGTCAGGGTCCTAAGAGGTCTCTGGGATCCCTAACTATGCAGTAGCCCCTCCTCAGCAGAAGAGATAAGGGAATACACACGTGCACATGAGAAACTGCAGTCATGTACTTGACCAAACCAGCATGAGTGGGCAGAGCCCACATCTCGTTCACCTCCACAAACACGACAGCTAGCATAGGCCGGGCAGTAAACTGACTTAATAAATGTTTATTGCAATCACTTGGAGACAAATCTCTCAAATGTGACACTGAGAAATCTTGCAAATAGCTGTTAGAAATTGACTTGTCTTTCCCTCCCTCCTCTCCCCATCCACCCCCACCCCCACAACCGTCAGTTCATATGTTGAAATCCTACTTCCCTATCCTTCAGATTATCATCTTATATGAAGATAGGACGGTTAGAAAAGGAATCAAGGGTCAAAGAGATTATGCGGCTTGGGAGCTGGCTCAAAGGTGGAGCTCATACTCTGCATCAAGGCCCAGGTTCGAACCCAGGGGCTACATGGTCTCCCAAGTGATACAGTGGACAAGAGGGTGGGCACCAAATAATCTGCACTGTACTGTCCTTCCCTTGTTCATCGATTTGCTGGAGTGGGTCCAGTAACTCTCCATTGTGAGACTTGTTGTTACTGTGTTTGGCATATCGAATACGTCAGGAGTAGCTTGCCAGGCTTTGCCATGAGGGCGAGATACTCTTGGTAGCTTGCCGGGCTCTCCAAAAGGGGTGGAGGAATCGAACTCTGGTTGGCCAGGTCAGCCTTGTGCAAGGCAAATGCCCTACCCACTGTGCTATTATTAACCAAGTAATCTAATTAGTTTAATTGGTTATTTTAAATCTCGTCTGCTGGCACTGTTTACAATCGCCAGAATCTGGAAACAACTCGAGGGCCCAAGAACAGATGACAGGCTAAAGAAACTTTGGTATATCTACACAACGGAATACTATGCAGCTGTTAGAAAAGATGAAGTCATGAAATTTGCATAGAAGTGGATTAGCATGGAGAGTATCATACTAAGTGAAATGAGTCAGAAAGAGAGGGACAGACATAGGAAGATTGCACTCATTTATGGAATATAACAGTATGGGAGATTTACACCCAAGAATAGTAGAGATGAGTACCAGGAGGATTGCTTCAAGGCCCGGGAACCTGTCTCACATACTAGGAGAAAAGGCAGTTCAGATAGAAAAGGGACCACCAAGTAAAGGATGCTTGGAGGACCCACTTGGGATGGGAGATGTATACTGAGAGTAGACTAGACCGAACATGATCACCACTTAATACCTGCATTGCAGACCACAACACCCTAAAGGAGATAGCGAGTAAAAAGGGAATGCCCTGCCACAGAGGCAGGGTGTGGAGGTGGAGGGTGGGGTGGGAGTGGTGGCAGGGATACTGGGACCATTGGTGGTGGAGAATGGACACTGGTGGAGGTATGGGTACTCAATCATTGTATGACTGAAACGTGAGCACGAAAGTTTGTAAGTCTATAATTGTATCTCACAGTGATTCATTAAAAGGCCCTCCCGTTGATCGTTGATTTGCTCAAGCGGGCCCAGTAACGTCTCCATTGGAGACTTTGTTGTTACTGTGTCTGGCATATCGAATACGTCACCGGGAGCTTGCCAGGCTCTGCCGTGCGGGCGAGATACTCTCGGTAGCTTGCCGGGCTCTCTGAGAGGGGCGGAGGAATCGAACTCGGGTCGGCCATGTTGGCTGCGTGCAAGGCAAACGCCCTACCGCTGTGCTATCGCTCCAGCTCAGATTAAAAAATAAAAAAATATTAATAATAAAATAAAAATACAAATCTCACCTGCTGGAGCTGGGCTGACCCATCAACTTAAACTGTACAATCAGCTTCCACTTCTTAAGCATCCGACTTGCTGGGGGGTTTTGTTTATTTGGAGGCCACACCCAAATAAACCAGGGCTTTCTCCTGGTTCTGTACTCAGGCATCACTCTAGTAAAGTTCAGGGGCCCATACAGGGTACTGGGGATAGAATCCAGGTTGGCTGCATGCAAGGCAGGCACCCTAAACCGGCTCAAGCATCTGACTTTTGTCTGCAAATCCTTCATACAATTCACAAGACACCGGGAGCTCAGGAACAAGCCCACTTTCATGCTAACACAAGCACCAAGTTAGCAGGAGCCTCCAATCGCCACTAGGAGTGCTCGCCACAAAAAAAAAAAAAAAAAAAAAAAAAGGTCATCAGAATAAATCTGAAAACAAACGAAGATGATAAGGGGTGGGGAAAAGCATCTACAAACCAAGGGCCAGATCTCTCTCTCGAGATCTCAGATTTGTGCTCCCAAACTATGAGCTTGTACAGTTTGTTACAGCAGTCCGACAAAGCAAGCACTGTTGTATAATGAAACATCCCATCATACTCATCGTCCCCAGCTTCCACCAAAACATATTTTCACTAACCATTCCTAACTGATGTGAACCTTCCCTTATGCCTTTACCAAATCTAAAAGAATGAACAGTTTGTGTCTGGAGAGCTAATACTGTGGAAAATCCGTTTGCCTTGCACAAAACTAACTGGGGTTGAATCCCCGGCATTCCATATGCTCCCCAGAGCCAGGCTAGGAGCGATCCCTGAGAGCAGAGCCAGGAGTAAGCCTTGAGCACTGCTGGGTGTGACCCCAAACCAAATAAATACAGTTTGAAAGCAAATTTAACTCATAGGGGAAAAAATACTTTATACTAAAACAAATATAGAAATCCTCTACTGAAGCTACTGCACTGTAGCACTGTCCTCCCATTGTTCATTGATTTGCTTGAACGGGCACCAGTAATGTCTCCATTGTGAGACTTGTTACTGTTTTTGGCATATTGAATATGCCACAAGGAGCTTGCCAGGCTCTGCCATGCGGGCAGGATACTCTCGGTAGCTTGCCGGGCTCTCTGAGAGGAATGGAGGAATCAAACCTGGGTCGGCCTTGTGCAAGAAAAACGCCCTACCCGGTGTGCTATTGCTCCATTAAAAATAAAATCCATGTACATTTGAATTTGTGGATAAAATGCTTAGAGGCTGAGCAAAAATCTTAGAGAAATACAGTTCCTTAATTGGCTCTCTTATTCAAATACCTAGGATTTAAATGCCCAAATTATTAAAATACAGAAAAGAGAGAGAGAAAATTCAGTATTCTTACTTTATAGCAAGTGAAAATTAATTTTTCAAAGTTACCTTAAGAAACTTGGCAGATGTCTTGAGGTCGTTGGTTTGGGGGAAAGGTTAATATGTGTGGTAGTATATATTATGTTGAATCACACATAACGGAAACCCTTAAATATTAGTAGATTAACAGATTTCCCAGTCTCTCTAAAATAAGTCAAGAGGCTTGCTCTTCAAGCCTGTGTTCTCCCTTAAATAAGTAACCCGTTTGTCTTCGTTTTTTTGCCTGCTTATCTCCACTCTGGAGATGTGCTCTCCCTCTCAAATATGTCTCTCTCGCTTTCTTTCTCCTCATGTCTTCCTAAATAAGTATCAATACAAACTACCTTGCTTCACAAAATAAACAATAAAAACAAGCCATCAAAAAAGATAAATGAAAAACATACCTTGACAAAGCATAAACCGTTGGTTGTTTTTCTGAGGTTTTAGATGGGAGTCCGTTAACAAGGATAGCGAGACAACCTCCAATCACGTGTTCTCTTCCAAAACGTTGCCTTCTAATGCAAAGAAACGCCAAAGTTGGGATGGTACTGGTAGAGGTTTTCCAAAGAGTCTTTTGTAACTTTCAAAACCAGGCAAGTCAGTAAAACCCACGATGCAGCTAATTAGTCTCAGCTGTTGGTCATATGCCCACTCTCCAGTCAAGTGATCGCCTGTTGCGAGCAGCTAAACCCCAGCTCGCTGGGAGGCTTTATTCCCTCTGCGGGATTTGGAGGCCCCGCGCTTTCCCTCCAAAGAGTTGCCTGTTTTCCTGAGAAAATGCCTTTATGTTTTCATTCGATTCTTTAAGCCACTGACACACCCCTCCCATCTGGGTTTCCCTCTCATATGTTACAGACAAGTGCTGGTGCTCAAAGTCACAGACCCAGTGATAGCAGGGACTGGCACACACCTTCCTGTGACACCACAGCCCTAAGTGCCAGTAGACAGGACAGTGAACTTGGTCCCAGTCAATAAGAACTTACAGACTTGCTGAGGGACGCAGGCAGAGTGGGGGTTCACTGCAGGGGTCACTCCGCAGTGGTGTGGGGGCTGCAGAGAGCAGGTCTTGCATGCATCTGCACCCCCAGCAGGCTCCCTAAGTGAGGGAGACCCACGCGAAGCTCCCTCTGGCGAGGCAAGCAACTGCAGCTGATGGGCACTGCCAAGTCCACCAGTCTTCAGAGTGCCCCGGGCTGCTATGGGAGCCCCGCCCTGCAGCCCAGCCCCCTGCAGCTGGAGACAAGGGGTGAGAGGGATGGGGTGGAGGGAATGTGGGGTGGTGGTGGGGACACGGGTGGAGAAAATGGGGCATGGAGGAGGTGCAGGTGGAGGGGACAGGGTTGAAGGGCATGAGGGTGGAAGGCACACGGGGTGAAGGTGGCGTGGGCGAGGAGACCGGCATGGAGGGAGTGCGGGTGAGAGGACACAGCGTGAAAGGAACACTGGAGGGGAGGGAGAGAGGGGATGGGACTGTGGCGATGCAGGTTGAGGGAGATGGGTTGAAGCGATGGGATGTGGAGGGCACGGGGTGCAGGGATGCAGGGTGGAGGGGACAGCAGGGCTGCAGGGTGGGATGACCACAGGAAGGGAAGGAGACGGTATTCACAGGCCGGACACACCGACATGCTCATCTTCCAGTTGCTCCCAGAGGGCAGCGTGGACAGACGTGGGGCCTACCCGCCTGTCCCCACCCAGACACCCATCCTGAGACCACCGACGTGTGTGTGAGCCACAGACAGAGAACGACACTGGCCACAGGCCTGGAGAGCACGCTATTCATCCTGCTGCTTCCTTCCGGGGCAGAGAAGGAATTGCGGGCAGAAACCACAGCACCATCTGCAGCGCCTCAGCAAGGAAACCCAAACCCCCTTGACCTGCCGCTCCCAGGCCCGCGGACCCCACGCCACAGGGCTTCCGGGTCGTGAGTGACAAGTCATATCAGGTGCTGAGGGAAGCCATCAGGGGCCCAAGCCCCTGCACCAGAAAATTCAGCAAAGCCTCGGGGCAAAGCCTGCAAGACTTTCTTAGCCCTAGGGCCAGCCCCGCTGACACACACACACACACACACACACACACACACACACACACACACCAGTCATTTGAAAACACCTTTGTGTGTCCATGCAATACTGGGGATTCAGCCCAACCAGCCCTTGAAGATAAAACTCTACAAAGACCACATTGGCACAGCTCTGGGAAGCTCCCCTAACCCTATTTCTTGACAGAGTCAATAGCTGATTCAATGGCCCAGGGCTGAGCTGAGAGGGGTTGAATGACTTAGCAGTGCCACTCCCGGGCACCAGACTCCTCAGGAAAAGATCGCGTTGGCATCATGAAGCCACTGTTGTCCAACGCCAACTTGTTCCTTTCCCTCCTCTCCTCAGACCCCGCTTCAGACCCTGCCAACACTCCAGCCAGAAAACCTGCTGGCCCCACCCTCCCTCCCCTTCCTACCTCCTCCCACATTCCAGTGACCTCCCTCCCTGCTCTGGCCTTTATTTCAAGTGCTCCACATTTCTCAGCCAGATAACTGACTCCCTTGGTTCTCCATTCCCTCGCCCGACCATCCTCAGTCCTCACACAGTTATTCCTCCGGAAGCAAATGTGGGTCTGGGGCTCTACTCTACAGAACCTGTCAGTGCTACCACACAGCCATGGGGAAAACCTCCTTCCTCTGCTTTCCACATTGCCCTCCCTGTTCCCGGCTCCTGATTCCAACACAGAAGTACCTATAACCGCAAATCAGCGGATCAGATCAGCACCACCTGGGAAACTCTTATCACATATGGGCCCTTCCAGGCCTACTTGTTCATCCTTAGTATTCTAGAAATTATGTTTTTGTTGGGAAAGGGAGTGCTACTCAGTCATGCCCAGGGTGCCCAAGGGCCATTCAACCAACTAGGCCAGTGGTTTCAATGCTGGGACCTGGCAGTGTGGTACCGGCGTCCCCAGGACCAGGCCTGGTCAGTGCCTGGTGGTGTCTACGCCCAGAGCTGCTCATAGGAGCACATGGTGCCGAGGGTCAAACCTTAGGCATGCACCCCAACTCCCTGGGCTATCCCCTGGGCCTCCAAGAAAAATCCAGGCAAGGCACACAGCTGGCTGTGTTTTAACAAGCATCCCATCTGGTTCTGGTCCCCACAATGTGACAGCCACAGGTCTGAGCAGAGGTCTTCAAACTTTTCATCTAATCAACTGACTAGAGCTAATTTTGGTTTTGTTTGGGGGCCATACCTGGCAATGGTCAGGGCTTCCTCCTGGCTCAGGAATTACCCCTGCCACTACCGAGGGGTTCACATGTAGGGTGAGGGGGATAGAACCTGTTTTGGCCGCAGGCAAGACAAGCATCCTACCTGCTGTTCTCCAACCCGCTAGAGAGGAGCTCTCATGATTTCTAATGCCACACAGCTTCACTGAGCACATCCGAGGCAAAGTCGTCAGTATCAGTGCCCAGGTAGAGCTCAGGCATCCTGTGCTGAAGTCTCTGCAGGTGCTGCCCATGTAGAATCTGCTCAGAGCACCACTATACTACATTCACCAAACTCTGTCACCACCTTAAGAATCAGCCCTTTGGCGCCATTTTTTTTTCCTGCAAGCCAAGCTGAGTTTCATATCTGTCTCTGGGCTCACTCTCTCCCAGAAGTAGTCAACCAAGTATAAGAATGATCCATTTCTTGTTGGTTTGTAATATCCTGAAGGACTTTACATGGAGCACTTGCACATCGGGTAGGGCATTTGCCTTGCACTTGAACAACCTGGGTTCGATTCCCAGCATCCCATATGGTCCCCTGAGCACAGCCAGGGGTAATTCCTGAGTGCAGAGCCAGGAGTAACCCCTGTGCATCGCCGAGTGTAACCCAAAAAGGAAAAAAAAAAGAATGATCCATTTCTTGTTGGTTTGTAATATCCTGAAGGCAAGAATTGTGTCTGAGCATATATTTATCACATGGTTTGTTGAACATCATTCACTGGGATAGTATCTGGACATGAGATGAATTGCACCTTTGAGACACCACCTCACCTTGTCAGCTCAGGTTCAACCCATCCATCCTGCAAACTCCCATCAAGGACCTCCAGAATCATAGGCAACTAAAAATCCTGAACAAAGATGGCGGCCGCATGGGAGCCTTGTGGACAGCAGGTATGAGCCGGGGGTCGGGGACGACAAAAACCTCATGGGAAGGGGGGCATTCTGGCCCGTCCTTCACGCCCTACCGAGGTCACCAGTTGCCCCCCACGAGTGGCTCTTCGGCACGGCCACAACTCCAGAGCACAGAAACCAATCTCTTAATTATCTGACTTTTAGTATAAATACTTCCAGGGTTAATAAGTAAAATAGCAGAAATCCAAAACCGCACGGCAGCGATAGCAGCCGTGCGACATCATTTAATTCTTGAACCCAGCTGTAGAAAGCAAATCATTTCACAACGCTTTTTCAGCATGTCTGATTTGGGGGGGAAGGGTAAACTCTAAATAATAGTGGTGAATCTTTTATCGAAACAATGAATCTAGTCAAAGTAGATAGAGTGTTAACTAGAACTCATCTGCCTCACAGGAATTGGGAGGGGTGGGAGGTGGGGTTCTATTGGGGTTCGTGGTAAAAAATAAGTATTGGTAAAGGGAAATGTGTTTGATATTTACATGACTGAGACCTAAACCTGAAAGATCTGTAACTTTTCCCACAGTGATTCAATAAATAAATAAATTATTTTAAAAAATGCCTGAACAAAGACCTTGTGTAGGGAATATGGTAACATGGAGGTATGGTATGGTAGTTACATGTGTAGTACACGTGGATAACATGCATACCGGCACAGTCGGCCTTTGGAACTGGAGTGGCTTGTGACTACAAGCTGGCAGGGCTGTGAGAGAGTGAGCCTTGGGCCTGGAATGGTTCTGTCCCACTCCCCAAGGCCATGAGCTCTGGAGAAATGTCAGACATTCCTGCAGCTTTCATCTCTTCTCTGGGCTGCTCAAATTCCACATCCTGACCCCAGGTGGATTGGATGGGATCATGTCTACACCAGTCTTATGGGAAAGGGCAAAGATTTTTGGTTCACATTTTTTGGATGCTGACTTTTGAGATGTATCACTTGATCACTTGACATCCTGTTACTTATCAATTTGCTCAAGCCGGCACCAGTAATGTCTCCATTCGTTCCTGTCACGTGCAAGTGTAGACCAATGGCATCTGCTCATTCTAGGAACACGAACAGCCTCAAACCAATCATTTAGGGTCTTGACAAAGAAGTCTGACCATCTTGTAGGTGGGCAGCCACGCCATCTTTTGACATCCCATGGGATCCAGTTGGTAATGGCTCTAGTCCAGCAGTCGTCTCCAAATCTCGTTACGTGTCCAGCCCACCTGATTTTCGACACCTTGGCAAACCAGACAGTGTCCCTGATTCTTGACCATTGACGGAGGTCAGAACTCCAAATTCTTTTTCTCATTTGAGTGAAGTCTGACAGTCCAAGCATTGCTCTTTCGATTCCTCTTTGGGAGATCCAAATAGCA